CTGCTTTGAGCCAGCCAACCAGATGGTGAAATGTGACCCTCGCCATGGTAAATACATGGCTTGCTGCTTGCTGTACCGTGGTGATGTGGTCCCCAAAGATGTCAATGCTGCCATTGCCACCATCAAGACCAAGCATACCATCCAGTTTGTAGACTGGTGCCCCACTGGCTTCAAGGTTGGCATTAATTACCAGCCTCCCACTGTGGTACCTGGTGGTGACCTGGCCAAGGTCCAGAGAGCTGTGTGCATGCTGAGCAACACCACAGCCATTGCTGAGGCCTGGGCCCGCCTTGATCACAAGTTTGATCTGATGTATGCCAAGCGTGCCTTTGTGCACTGGTATGTGTGTGAGGGCATGGAGGAGGGAGAGTTCTCTGAGGCCCGTGAGGACATGGCTGCCCTAGAGAAGGATTATGAGGAGGTTGGGGCAGATAGTGCTGAAGGGGACGATGAGGGTGAAGAATATTAACTCATGTACTGCAATTTTACACTTCTGTGGTCTCTTTGTCTTTTCGTGTGTTTTAACTGTCCTAAACTGTCAATAAAGGTGTTTCTGATTTAAGTGGGAAACTGGAAAAAAAAGATTGTATGTTTTCAAGATTTTCCAGGTAGAGGAGAACTGGGAAGAACTTTCTCTGTCCTCTTTTTTTTTTAGAAATCAAAGAAAATCAAAGAAAACCTCTAATACCTCTCAAAATTTCTTATTCCAAGTACTTTTCATTGTCAAAAATATTGTTAAAAAGCTAGAGGATACCTCAGTTAGACCAGGTGAAGAATAAAATCAAAATAAGAATAAAAAGTAAATGTAAATAAAGAATGCTGGGAGTAAGAAAGAATAGTCTTTGTCATGTGTACTGGTCTGAATGAGAATTTCCACCATAGGTTCCTCCTATATTTGAATGCTTAGTTCTCATTTGGTGATCTGTTGAAAAAGAAGTAGGAAGTGTGGCCTTGTTGGAGAAGATGTGTCATTGTGTGTTGACTTTGAAGTATCAAAAACTCACTCTAGGACAAATCTTCATGATTCTGTCTGTCTCTCTGTCACTGTCTCTCTGTCCATCTCTGTCTTTGTCTCTGTCTCTCTGTCTTTGACTCTGTCTCTCTGTTTCTCTCTCTCTCTCTATGTCTCCCCCTACCTCCTACAAGTAGTCTTTGAACTTCCATATTTACATGTTTATTTGAAATCAATCAATCAATCAATCAATAAATGCAGTTAAAATAACTTTAAGATTTCATGTAGGCTTCAGGTCAACTTCTCTATATTCAATGAGTTGTACAGATGTTGTCCTTAACAATGGGGCCTGGCTGTCAGTTTGTGGATAATAACCCCATTGTCTTGACAATATCCTGAGTTGCTTGAAGATTTCCATGGAATCCCCTTGGCCAACAACTCAGTTGAGTGCAGTCAAGCCCCAGTATTGGAAGCCTTGTTTAGTGACAAGAGATGTCAAGTTGACACTCTGTATCTCCCCTTAATAGGAGAATTTGTTAGAATCTCCATGTATTTTAGGAAGTTTCCACTCCACTGGTTTTCATATCATCCCTCAAATGCCCCTCAATTCCTGCTGACTCTCCTCTCATTCCCTCCCTTCTCTTTCTCCTCTCTCCTTTCCTATCTGATCTTCCATTCTTCCCCCACCCCCACCCCCTGCATCCTGGAAACTCATAAAATCTATTCTATTTCTCCCTCCCAAAAATATCCATGAGTATTCCTTAGTTATTTTCACTATATCTCAATCTACAGATTGTAGGCTGGTCATTTATTTAATGGTTAATATCCAAATATATGTGAATACATACCATTTTTATGTATGTTCTGGGTTACCTCACTCAAGTTAATTTTATTCTAGTTCCATCTATTTTCCTGCAGATTGCATAATATAAGTATTAAAAGAGCTGAGAATAATACTACATTGTGTAAATGTGCCATATTTTCTTTACTCATTCTTCTATTGAGAGATATCTAATTTTTTTTCATTCCTAGAATTATGAATAGAGCAGCAATAAACATGTTTGAGCAAGTATCTTTGTGGTAGGATGAAGAATTCTTGGGCATACACCTAAGAGTGGTATGGATGGATCTTGAGATTGACTGATTTCCAGTGTCTTTGGTGCAATATGGCATTCTGCAGGATATTTAAACAATAATATAAACACCAAACCAGTCACAAAACCTTTAACCTTCAATCCAACCTGCCTGCAAGATATGCCAGGGCAAAGGTAGATCAGAACATGTGAAAGTAGTCAACCAATGCTTGATGTAACTTAAGGCCCACTTCACAAGATTGAACCCATACTAGACAATTCTTGAGTGACCAAGAACTAGAGATTCAACAGTCCATAGACCCAGGATGAAACCAAATATCATTGGTATAATAAAGTATCAATAAAATGACTCCTAATTATATTCTGCTCTATTCATCACCAGTGCATTATCCAGCCCACATCAGGCAGGAACAGAGGCAGAGGCACATAGCCTGACACTATTAAGAGAAAGAATACTTCCTTCTGCCCCTGCCTGGTCCTCTGGGCTGGAGCAGACACAGAGTTGGTCTGCTCCCGTCCTGTTGAGAAACTGAATCCTGAGTCATCCAGGAGCCACTGCACTCAGAGCAGCTGACACAGAGTTGGTCTGCTCCTGTCCTGTGGAGAAACTGAATCCTGAGTCATCCAGGAGCCACTGCACTC